TTTTTTACAGATACTTCACATTTATAAAGGATTGCATCTTTAACTTGTTTTGCTAGATCTGTTCTCACATGTACATGACCAAATTTCTCTACTGTTCAGTAGGGAAAATGAAGCAGTGGATATAATTGCGTAATGACAGATATGAGAGGAACAGAGAATCCCAGCAATCATTTCCTGTGAGTTGGCCAGCTTCCAGGATGTCTCAATGGGCCCGCTGATGTAAAGGCAAAATGAAAATAGCTCATTCTGAAGGGTACTTGTTGGTTGGGATTTTTTTCCCCCTCTCTCATTTGACTTTGCAGACTAAGGTATTGGAATAATTAGCTGGCAGTGTGGTGTTAGTTTTCTCATGGTAAATTAAGCAGATTAACCAAATGTGGAAACGTATTTTAGCTACAATCAGCAGATTTGAAGCTGTAATACTTCTGAGGTTATGTTAATATTATTCACATTATTCCTCTATTATGTGCAGACTTTTCCACAGTTACCTTATGTCAGTGTTTATTCAAAGGCAGCAGAATTATTAGATTTATTTTTGTTAGTTTTGTAACACAGAAATGTAGGGGATCAGCATGCTGACTGTTGCGTCACTCCACTTGGCATGTAGTATTGGCACGGATAAGAGAACTATTATAACAGCCTTAATCTCTTTTTTTATTATTATTGTTATTAATTTTCCTACAGTAAGTTGAGTAGTGAAGCATATTTTACATAATCATGGCAGAAGTACACAACTTGACGGGTGGTAGTGAAGGAGCAAAGTAATATAAATACTTGCAGAACATTTCTGCCATAAGTTAATGCTTTGCATATGAATCTTTATAAAGATCCTAAGTTAGTTTAAAGGAATGGTTCCAGAGGACTACATAGGTCCAGGCATTTTAAGAGCTATGAATGATGACTGTGGAGCATCTCTGGGAGTTTTTGGCTAGTCATACAAAAACAGAAAAGAGAAGGAGGAAAACTCAGCAGGAAGAAGTTAACAAATGCTTTGGGAATGGAGGAGGGAGATGACATAAGCTTTCCATGTACAAATCTTAGGCTAGACTCACCTAGTCATTCATTTTTGATTGCTGTTTGTCTTTGGCTTGCTGCATTTCACTGGAGACACTCACTTAGCAAATGGTTGCAGCAGCTTTAAGCTGCTCCTGCAAGCACATATCTGCTGCTGCTTCGAGCCCCAAAGCAGAGCTGATAGAAGGGAATGGAGAAACAAATCTCAGCTATTCCATGCAACATCTGTTGGTTTAATTGAGCTGCTGCAGGAGATTCAATCTAAGCTACCAGCTGTGGCACAGAAAGGTCTGAGGGACACAAACACATGGATCCGTGCAAGCCAGCTGTGTGAAAGAGCAAAAAAGGACAGCATGGGCAGGAACTTCTTAAGCTACTATTGGTAGATTTGCCAGGTTACACATGCTGACAATCCCATTTTCCCTCAAAATGTTATTTCTAAACAATACCAAGTACATTTTGCTTTCCAGGGATTGATCTGAAAGTGCAGAGCTGCATCTCAGCCTGTCTGGCTGAAATACAAATCTTCAGTACAAACATGTTAGCACTTGTAGTTCCTCCTGAAGATTTCAAACTGGATACACTGAAGCTGCAAGGTCAACACGTTTAGGAGCAAAACACAGCTAGCTGCATAGGCTTTATGTGTAAGCCACAGGATATTTTGCTCTTTATTTGCCAATTCAGCCTATTTTAAGAGAATCCCACAATTTTAATTTTCTTCTTTGGACTTGACTGCTAAACTGATCATGTCATAATAAAATACATCTGCATAAATAACAGTGTTTCTACAGGGACTCTCAGTATTGGTTTCAGATATCACTTTGCCAGAGAATTAGGGGGAGAATTCTAGTACTGTATTTCCTACGAAAATTTTACAAAAATGTCAAATACATTTGTGAAATTTTGAAATGATGAGCCTGCAAACAAACTTTTTTTTTTTTTTAGATGGCCATTTAGCGATAAGTCGGCTCCCCTCACTTTTCTCAGAAGTACTTGAGGATTGTAGAGTCTATGTGTACACATACATACACCTTTGTGAAAATGTTCTGGTTTGAAGGACATGCTTTATTTTTTAGGCAGTGTTTTACCATATCCCTGATTATGATGCACATTGAGCTTATTTCTATTTTAAGTTGTTGACTGTGTGTGTGCTTGCTTATATCTAATCAGAGGACTGAGCAGTGTCTCAGGTAGCTCACAAATAGAATATTCCACACAAGCCAAGCAGGTGGAAACAAATACAGGGGGTTCTGATATAAGAATGGACCACATCAATTAATGATAGGCAGGTAATTGGCTTCTTTGAAGAATTACTCCTAAATAACTTCCCTGCTAAAAGGGCAATTGCTAAATGAATGTTTTTCCTTACCATGTTCAGGGGTGGAAAAATGCAGCCATCACTCATTAGCCCAAAGTCTGAGTCAGCTAGACAGTGTGAAAAAATACCTGGCACTCAAAGCTCACATTTAGCCTCAAAGCCGTGCCCTGCCACTCAAAAGGAACAAAACAGTCGTGCACTGTTTGTGACCTCCCTTTAGCTGTAACATAGTGTCAATCACACTGGGCTTTAATCCTTTCCAAATTATAACATGTATCTCTTGTGCTTTGTTCGCTTCCTGCCTTTTTTCCTCCTTTTATTCCTGACAAAAGAGGACAGTATCTCGCTCTTATAATAGTCAGTATTTTGTCAGAAATTTGCAGTGCTTGTGACATTTCCTTCCTTTTTCTTACTTTCTTGGCGCTTTCTGTACCTTTGCCCTATCAGTTTTTAGTCTCGGATTTATTTTCTGGGCTTTTCTCTCCAAAATAATTCTTTCTTTTGATGCCACAATTTCAATTTCTAACATATCACTGCGGTTCTCACTTTTTCCCTACCAGATAAGTGGTTAGACAGAAGGGGAGAATGGCATGATCCAAGGCTTGTGATGGTCCCAAGATCTTGTGCTGTGAATTAAAGTTCCAAGTCCCCAGGTTCTCTGTAACTGTGGCATCTACATGTAGTGGCCTCATTCTTCCTTCCTCTATCTTTTCCCTGAGAGAGTTGAATTTGGAAGATTTTTGAGTTATTCCTTCCTTCATCTGCTCCTTTGAGAAGATGAGCTTGTACTCCTTCCTTTAGTTTTGTGGTTAAAAAAAAAATAGTTTCTTTTTAACAGATTTCTATTTTGAGTCCTCTTCTCCAGCAGCTTGTTGCAGTTGTCATTCATAGTTTCTAAGCTGGGAAGGAGAAATCACTGAGCAGTAGAAGAGTAACTAAAGTGGGAAACTAATGAATTCAGAAGGGTGTTGCTTCTTTAGCTTACATTCAGCTCATATTTGAATTGTTAATGTGGTATGCATTTGGATGGGCATTTGCTCTAGGTTTTAAACAGAAAAACAGTAAAAAATTATGTGAATTTGATAACTTGCTGAAGAAGCTTCTTGGCTCTTTTTTCAGCCAAGTTGATTTTCAAAGCCTGGCAGCATATGCTCACACTTGCAATTTCAGCTGTGTCTGTACATCTAATGCATTTTGTCTGCCTAAGGAGGAAATTCACTGTATGCTGGTTAAATATGAACAAATGTAATATTGTCTCTCCTGTGCTGGTTGTCACTCCTACCTCTCTTTAGCACAAGCTACCTAGCATAAGATACAGAAGAGTAAGCATTACAGTAAGAATATGTTGTACAAGTGCAAAAGACCACACCTTGTTCTTCAAAACATTTCAAGCTTCTGAGGCATTTTTTGTAAAAACCTGTGTTTTTAAAAATCTAGAATCCACAGCCACCATGTGAGGCCACATAGGCTTCTTCAGCTTTTTTCTTATCTGAGGTTGTTGACCTCAGGAGAGGAGGAGAAGGTTACAGGGTCAAAGTCTTTTCCTCCTTGGAGCTTGCTGCTTGCTGGGAGAGGGTTGGCTGGAAAATAGATGTTTTAGAAAAAGGGTTGAGGGTCATGATTTTAATTCTGTTAGGGAACAGCTGGTTTGAGTTTCTTTCCACTTCTATCTTCCCTCCCTTCCACACAAATCCATCGAGAGAGAAAAATTTGTTCAGAGGAAAGCAACACAAAAATAAAGAATTGCAGCATTTTCATGTTTAAAATCAATCATACTTGTTATAGGACTTCACATTAGGAGAGAGAGGAGGAAATTATTAAAATAATTGAAATCCCTTATTGTTACTAGCATTGAATTGATATTGATCTAAAGTTCAGAGGTTTATTTGTTTTCCTGCCAACAGTTAAAATGTTAATAGTAATGTTTTAATGGGGTTTTTGTGGATAAACAATATACATTGCAATTTTTAATTTAGTGATGGAGAAAGCTAATTTTTAATACATTCTGTTAGTTTGCAGAAAAGCAGCTGAAGAAAGATGGTTTGATTTGGGTATTTCTGTTCAGATTTTCTTCATCTTTGCATGCTGCTTTCATGCACTAAGACCAAAGAGAGAGAAGGAAACTCACAACTCTCAAATGAATGGCAAACTAGGAACAGATTTTTCATCTGCACTCCTCTGAAACACTGGCCTCAGGCTGTGTTGGTGTGTGGCTCAACAGCAATCAGAGGTCATAATTTCATTGGCGGTTAGCATCAGGTTTAATTTTTCTAATATGTTACATTTACCAAAATGTCTGGTTTCAGTTACACTTATGCACTGACTGAATCAGCTTTGAGCAGCATGATGTTTTAAGGTACCTGAAAGGCTACAAGAACGTTTATGGAACACATATGCTAATTGTTTTTAACCACTTTCATTTCTAAACACAAAAATGTGTTTTTGGAAAGCCATTTAACAGTAGTAGCTAATGACGGTGTGCATTTAGTCTAAGAAATGAGCACAAGGAATAGGTAAAATAGTTGTTTTAACAAGACTGCCATCTACTGATTTCCACAATTAATAATATCCCTGATTACTAGATTGGTCATAGATTTTTTTTTTTTAATAGCTTTGTTTTCAAAATTTGCAAAATCAAGAAAATTATAAAATCTTTCTGTCACCTTAGGAATGCGACCAGGTTCACATTGACGACGTGTCTTCGGATGACAACGGTCAAGATTTAAGGTACAAGAGAACTCATTAAGATAAACAGTTACTTTGCAAATTCCTTCCTGGGCGAGGGATGGGCTGCTGCGATGCTCACAGTAGCCTGCTCTCTTTTAGCTGTCTTCTTTGCAGCCCAGCCAAGTGGGTAGCTGGTGGTTCAGTGCAGCCTGTTGCCTTTTATTAATCCGTGGGGTTTGTTATCCCTGCCCAGCACGTATAACTTCGGAACCGACGGCTTTCCCGCAGCTGCCACCAGCGCCAACCTGTGCCTGGCCACCGGCGTGCGCGGAGGAGTGGACTGGATGCGGAAACTGGCCTTCCGCTACAGACGAGTAAAAGAAATATACAACACCTACAAAAACAACGTTGGAGGCAAGTGACTCTGGAGTGTCTAACTAACACGGATTATTAGAGGTCTTAAATGGGAAGAACTGGTTTCTACTCCTTCCTGGGAGTGTTTAGTGAGCTGCTTAGTTTGCAGCGTGCAGAAAATTGTCTGAGCTGGTGAAAGCAAAGGAAAATGACAGAGCACTACTTAGTACCAGTGCAGACATGCCCTTGTCTACTCCACAGGTCTTCTTGGTCCAGCAAAAAGAGAGGCTTGGTTACAACTGAGAGCAGAAATTGAAGCTTTGACAGATTCTTGGTTAACACTTGCACTGAAAGCACTCACCCTCATACATTCGAGGTGAGTATTGAGAGTAGGAAGGAAGCTCTAGCATGTCTGAGGATAATCTGGAAGAGGCTATCTGCTGTGGTGGGCAAAATGCTGAAGCTGAAGGACCTTATCCTCGTTTCTTATTCTGATCTGATCATGCCACACCTTGTTCCTCGATATGGTGGTAAAAAAAAATGTTCGCTTGAAGTGGTGATAATAATGTTGAAGGGGTTCTGATGGGATGGGTAAGATTTTCCTTCTATGGTTTTGTTTTTGTTTCTTTCTGTTTTGTTAAAAAAGGATATTTGCATTTTTCTCTTCTGTAGGACAAACTGTGTGAACATTCTCGTAACAACTACTCAGCTAATTCCAGCTCTGGCAAAAGTCTTGTTGTACGGACTAGGGGTTGTATTTCCCATAGAGAATATTTACAGTGCAACTAAAATAGGTGAGCTATTTTCATCATGTTGTGATACATTTAAAGCTGTATTTCTAAAAAGAAAAGGTATTGCAGTCTATATTTAATTCTAACTTGCTTTCACTGTAGCAAATACAGAGATTAGTAACACCTGATCCTCATGAAACATTGCTAAAGCATCCTAAAAGTGCTTTTTGAATGTGTGATGATCCAGCACAGAACGTTTTTTATAGCTCTATTAACAGTGGTACAGTCTCTGTTAGGAAGAAATGTAAAAAAAATTGCTTTTTTTCATCATTTCTCAAAACTGTGGGGCTGTGTAGCCCTTGAGAAGGGTTTTTAATAGGCAGTAAGTACAGAACGCTGAAGTCTCTCTGTAGCAGCAATAGGAGAACTTCTGTAAAGGTAAGCCCTGGCTTATTTGTTTTCATGGGCTCTGGAGAAAATTTTGGTAAACAATTTACCAGAAGCAAGAATGTTTTGCTGCAAAATGTAATTATTTAACTTTCTCCATACTGACTGTAATAAACTTCAGCCAGGAAAATGTTTATTTCTGTTTTCTGGTTCAGTATAAAAGATGTTATGCTGAGTATGTAGAAGTACCCCAGACCAGATGGCAATGGTGTTTGTAGTTTTTAATGTGATTATGACATATCTGTTCTGTCTCAGATTCCCTCATAATTGTGGGACACAAGAACACATTTTTCATCTGTTCTTAAGTATCTTAAGTATAATACAGCAAGCTCAAATGGTAGGATATTTTTGATTTTTTTTTAACAAGACAAAACAAAAATTAGTTCATACTTTTACAGAGAAATTTGAAAGCATTCCCATAAAATATTTAAAATTTTTCCTGAATAAAAAAGTTATAGTGCCCTCTATCAAAACTTTGTAGTAAATTATAGCTTTGAAATATAATGCTTTAAATACACATTTTAATTAAAACATATTTTAATAGATCTTCACTTGTGACTTCACATACATAGGGTAGAAGGGTGGTTTTGGAAAAATATGCTCTGTCACTGACTGTCACAAGAAACCATGAGATTTTTGTGACATGGCATGATTCATAATATTCAAACACTGTTCCAGCTTAGTGTTGGAGGTTTCTTATGCCTGGTGCTACTGTCAAATGGTATCATTAAGTAGTTTGACTTCTGTAATGTCTAGAAAACTTCATTTAATTTCCAGCCTACTTTTTCTTAACGCTTTTATTGTTCTTTAGCTGAAATAACTATTTTATAAACCACAATTCTTCCCATCCATTTCTGTAGACACTCAGCATATCCCGCGGCCAGACTAAAGTGACCTTTCATAATAGGGACATTTGGGAAAACTCAACTTTAGGTTTTTGCTTTCTTTTGTCTTCTCAGTACTGTACCTGAAACTTCCCAGTATGGGTACAAACTGAAAGAGAAGAAATTTAGGTTAGCTTTTAGGCAGAAATTCTTTACTGTAAAGATGGTGAGACATTGAAACAGGTTGCCCAGGGAAGTTGTGGATGCCACAATCCTGGCAGTGTTCAAGACCAGGTTGGGTAAGGCCTTGGATAACCTGGATAACCTTGGATAACCTTAAATAACCTATTATAGTGGGAGTGTCCCTGCACATGCCAGGGTGAGTTGGGACTAAATGAGTTTAAGGTCCCTTCCAACCCTTAGCATTTCTGTGATTCTGTGGTACTCGTGCATAGGGCTGGGGCATTGAGATAATTTCCCTAGGTGTGTGCAGGGAAGGAATGACCTATGTGAATGGATCCCAGTGCAGGATCAAGGACATGGCCCATGTATTGGATTACAGGCATTTAAATCTTAATCTTTTGAGTGACCTTCTAAGTGGAGGTACTACTGTTTTAAGAGCTGTGATTAATCAGGTAACAGATTTTGGAGAAAAAGATAGAATTTCAACTCAGCTTCAATCAATTTACTCAAATCAAGCTACTGGTCATAAACAAATGGTAGATAATTCTCCTGGTGGTAAAATTCCCCCCAAAACCTGTGTCATATTAGGGAATGAGACAAGAAAGGTCATATTGTGGATCTTTAGTATGCTGTCTATGCTGCAGTCAGCCTTGATGCACCATCCTGAGGGACAGACTCTTCTCATCTTTGTAGCTCTACTTAAGAAGTCCAAGGGTTGGGGAGATCCAAGCTAAAAAGCTAAAATTATTTATTTGATTTATTATTGTTATTTATTTGATGACATCCCATCACCACCTACCTTGAATAGTCTTTTTCTGATCTTTTTCTTTCAGGAAAGGAAAGTTGTTTTGAGAGAATAATTCAAAGATTTGGAAGAAAAGTAGTGTATGTTGTTATAGGAGATGGTGTCGAAGAAGAACAAGGTGCAAAAAAGGTAATGACCTTTTTTTGGTGCGGGTTGGTTAAAAGAGTCTGGATAATTGTCTTTTCTTCAGCATGGGACAGCATGCACTGACATTTAAGTTGGATATCTTTGCCTTATAAAATCTGTGTTGAGTATATCTAGTAGAAAGCCAGGTAAGCCTATAGATAATGATTTGCCCTGCTGTTCTCCAAAAGACACATTAAACTATGTATGTTTGATGCATTTCAAAAAGGGGCCTGAAAACGGGCCTTGGCTTTTGTGCCAAGAACTAACAGTTCTGTTTTCGTTGGCAACCCAAAATACCACATAGGATGTTATGAATGTAAGCAAAATATGGTGATTCTTAGTGATCAAAGGCAGTGTGCTGTTTAGCTGTATGAAATACGTATATGTCACACCTTAAAAAGACATGTAGGACTGGAGTAGGTAGACAGGAATTTCCGTTTTCTTGTGTGTCCATAATTTGGATTCTTCGTTCAGACAACAACCTGTGGCTTGGCATGCATTCATAATCTCAGATAACTGAGCAGAGAATACTGTCTATTATTTTTTGCTTCCCACTGAGAAGAACGGAAAAAATATTTTTTTCAATGTGAATTAAGCTGTATAAAAAGCAACACTTCCCATTCACAAATAATAGGCTTTATTTGTAGTCTTGCTAAAAAAATTACCCTAGGTAGTCTGCAGATACACACTCTTTGCTTGGAGGAATGAGGCATAACCTTGGCTATTTGAATAATAGGAGAAAGAGCAGGAAAATGGGCATTTTTGTTCTTGCTCCCTTTCACAGATAAATTGCTTTTACACAGCTGCTTTTTCACCACAAAACTCTCTGTGATACTTCTATCTCTTTCCACTGTGACTTTCTAAATTGGAAAAGTGAAGCTAATTAGTCCACATGGCATTTTAACAACCATTGACTGGTTTTGCTTCATGAAATCTGGGTTTTGTGCCCCTGAAGCCTCGCGGGTAGGTTCCCGGCTCGTCCCAGCACTTTGCAGAATCTCAGTTTCATATATCCCTTTGGCGGAACAGTTTGCTCTTTTCTCCTTCAGAAATGCCTTTCATCTTTGCAGAGAAATGTTTTCCCGCTGCAAATGATTACATTTTAAAAGCTGTATTTAAGATCAGGGGGAAAAAAAAATTCCTTCTCTTTGTTCCTTTTCTGTTGCTCGGTGAAATAGTGTTGTATATGATAATGGCAGGAGTAGTCCTTTTGGTAACATTATCTATTCCAATGCTTTTTTCAACAGGAAACATGATTCAGAAAAGCATAAGAGAAAGCCTTTCCAGTCACTAAGAGGAGTAGCAGTATAGAAAGTTCTTTTGTGCAATTACTTGTGTGTATTCTTTCCTGGTGGAAGGAATTTTCAGGTTGAAAGCATGTTAGATGCTCTGGATTAAATTATCTGCTGCAGCAATGCCAGAGAAGTCAATAAGTAGAGCAGCAGCCCTGCCTTTCTGCATAAACTATCAATCTGATTTAGGAAAATGCTTCTGTGGTTCTTGTCCTGCTTCTTAGTCCACCAAATAAGAACTCACCCTTTCACACTGTGAATGCAGGCTTTGCCTTTTTAGTTTTTTCCTTCACATCCTTCAAGAGTAGAAACCTTCTCTGGAGAGCACACAGACAAGACAGAAGCTTTGCCTCCCCAAAACTACCCAAAGCATCTCAATCCAGAGTGGCATAACTGTCCTGTGATGTACCCCATTGTCATGCTTACCCCTAAATTTTGGTAGCTGGTTCCGTCCTGCTTTGCTTCCCATCAGCGTGTCAGGTTTTGTGGCCTTCTCCAGAGAAGGGACAGATCTTCTGTTACCCTTTGCACAGCAGTTTTCTGAAGGGCTTTGGCCTGAGGTGAAGCCATTAGCATATGTGTGTTTCTTTACACTATTTAGAGCGTAAACAGCACAACCTTCTTTAGATAGCACTTCATTGTTTACATGTAACCTGTAAGGAGTCTTTTCAAGTGAGCATATAAATTCAAGCCTATTTCATTAGGTTTTTTTTGGTTTTTTTTTATTCTATGTTCATTCAGTGTATTTTAAAAAAAAGTTGAGCTTCCAGCTTAGGAGTTAAGAAAGTTAAGGTTAAATTATTAAAAATAATTTACCAAAAATTTTATAAATTCCCTCATCATAAAACAAGATTTTCATGTATGTCCTTCATCATGGAAAATATTGAGTCAATACAGCAGTAGGAAAATAAAAGAAACTTTTAAAATCTTTTTATTATTGTCATTAGTATAAAAATTCAATAATAGAAATTTCTTAATGCCACTTAGAAGATCATTGCTTTATTGAGAAACATTTTTAGGATAAACAGTTTGGTAATAAAATGCCTCTTTTGGTTGATGTAAGTAATCATAATACACTGAGAAAACTGCACACTGTTACATTTCTGGTAGCATTAGTTGCACTAGGATAGTGACACCTTTGTTTAGCTGTCACTTCCAGCAAAATGTTCGATGAGACAGTTAAACTCTTGGGATGTTTGCCCTGTGTATTGAGGAATGATTGTACCCTTCTGGGTCAGTGCAGCAGCCCGTGAGCTTGGCTGTAACACCAGGGCTCACACGAATGTTGCTACCTTCATATCAGCTTTCCCCGGAAAAGAGGGAGAGGAGGGCAGAGAGAAGTCAGTGTGAAACTCCAAAGGGTGCCCTGGAGCTGCTGGCATCAGTGTGGGTCACAGCCACCACCTCAGAGTGCCACTGTGGTGACACAGCTGTTCTCAGTACAAGGGTCTGGGGGCTTCTGCCAGAAACGCCATTGTCTCAGCATTTTGGTTTGCTTTGCTTTGTTTTGTGTTTTGGGTTTGGAGGTTATTTTGTTTTGTTGTGTTGTGTTTTGTGCTCATCTTTTGCCTTTGCCTTTGGAGACACATTTAGGAAATATTAATAAGACAGAAAAACCCCAGCTCCTGAGTTTTTCTGCTTAGGAGAAGTCTCCAAAGGATTTCTAATTTGTGAGATGAGACAAAGGCTCCTATGCACTGAGAAGCTGGATTTTACATCAGGTGATTCGGGAGAGCCTAGGCAAATGGGCTTCTCCTTTGTCTCCAAAATGGTCATGCTGCCTGGGAGGAAAAATCATAAATCTTTGTGGAGCAATAAATAGAATATAAATGGGTATCCAATATGCCACTGCTTTTAAGCTCAGAGTCACACTGTGCTGGTCAGGTCTGGGGTAGGAAGTAAAGACGGCCGCTTAGCAAATCTGGCAGGAATACAATAAAAATACCATGAAAGATGACAAAAACTGATGAGTTTTCTATTCAAATCCATCACAAATCTCAGGAGTAATTTTTTTGTAAAAATATGTATTCATTTAAGGGAAGGAGGACAGAGGGTAATCTGGACTTTTTGGTGTTGCTATCAAAAAATGGATTTGTTTTGCATATCTATTAATAGCAGCACTATTTTGTGGAGTAAAATAGCTGAAGTTTTGTACATTTAGTAAGTACACACTGAAAATAAAATTACTTCTATTTCAGAAATAAAATAGCTTAATGTCTTAGATTATTTAATAGTACTCTAATTATTAGGCTTACTAAATTTGTCATTTCATTTTTTATGCTTTTTACATTAAAATCAAAATTTTGCCACCATATTTAATTTCAAAATGTCATCAGAATCAAATAATTTAAAAGTTCATAGATGTTTTATTACTCAGTATCATCTACCAAACAATTAATGATTTTTAAAGACAAATGCTTCATATTTACTTGGAATATGTTGAAATAGTAGACTTAGGGTGCCATTAGATATTAATGCATCCAGTTTCACGACCTATTTATTAGTGGTTAGCATTTGTCATCCATTCTCCCGCAGCAGCAAATGTGAGATTGGCATTTCTTTCTTGGCTCAGAATAGAAGCATTCTGCGTGACAGGGGTGTGCTAAGTGTTGGCAGGGATGGCTTTTTAAAGGCAATATTTAGTACAGATATATACAAAGGGTCTCTTGCTCTCTCAAATGATCTCAAGTCATTTGGCAAGAGAAAATGTACTTCCATATCATGGGTGTGTTGCCACTTTTGATGTGGCTGAATAGTTGTGAATCAACAATGCATGTTAATACAAGAATAATAGGTAAGGTTGTGTATGATAATTTTGTTACTTTAAAGGTTCTAGTTTCATACGGTATTATCAGATGGGGCGAAAATTAGTATGCATGCCTCAAGAAAACACAGGCATATATATGAACACATGTGTGTGAGGCTCTACATATACATGTTGTAGTGTGTTTTTAAATTTCTTGTTTTGTTCCCCCATTTTCTGTACTGTTCCCCCCTGTTCTTGGTAAAATGGTTCTTCCCCCTCCAGTTTTCCCGCCACAGAGCCTTTGGCAGTTATGTTACTATGGTTACCCCTTCCCTCCTCGGTTGTCAATCTCTTAAGTTATGTAACTTCCCCTCCCCTCTCCTACCTTATAAGTAAGTTTTTCCTCCTCCCTGGGCCCAGTCAATCACCCCCCACTCCTCCCTGCTTTCGAGAACATTCTTCCCTCTGGGGGTTGTGGTTGGCTGGTGTCCCGGAGCCCCTCCTTTACTTTGTATTTATTGGATATGTTCATCTGTCAGTTGTGTTATGTACCTCCCAATATGTTCTCCCATTGGTTAGCTGGGCTTCCCTCCCTTCTCCACCCCTTCCCTGTAAAACTCTGTCTCCCCCTGTGTTCGGGGCCATTTGCTGTGGGTTTTTCCACCTGTTGGTTTGCCCTTTGCTGCCTGTGGGCTCTTCAATAAACCGACGTTTTACCCCCAGCAAGTGGTCGCCTCCTCTCTCGTCTCGTCCTGCGCAAATGCAAGTCCGCAATCCAGCCCAGCCCCAGGCCACGATGCCAAGGGGGGCTGGCTTCTGATGCGCAGGGGCGTCGGCCGCTTCACCCCTTCAGCTAGCCGGACTTAGGGCCGCGTACGCCCTCGCGCATATACACACAAACATACAGATATATATAGAGCTGTATCAGGTTTGTTTCTCCTCCTCACAGCTCTGAAGGCTGTAGTGTAGGGTCAGACTGATGGAAATCTGAATTGGCCACGTTCAGCCAATCCAGGGCATCAGAGCAGATTCCAGCCCTATGCAGCCACCATGTTCTTGGCATGCTTTATTTCTCAGGAGTGTGCAGCTGGTCTTTAGACCTTCATGAAGGAGACCTGAAAATAATTATAATCCTGAGATTTGCACAACCTCTTTTTTTTCATGAGACTATTGTCATTCCACACTTTGCTGCTGTAACTGCATAGAGTAAATATAGGTATATTCCTTTCACAGACAGACAGACATAAATAAAGCAGAGGACACTTAACTGAATTTGAGATAGAAATATATAGTCAAAATAATGACTGCTAACAGTTTTGGTTTAAAATCTGACCATCAACAGCTGACCCATAAACAGGGTAATCCAAAACTCGATATTGCACATGGGCATCTAACACGAGGTGCTGTAATTTGATTTAGCAGAAGCTAAACCTTCTGTTAAATCAATCAGAGTCTTTAACTGCTCTATCTGCCTGGTGTGTGTATGCTCTGTGATGCTGAGGTTGTTACTAGGGAAGCAGTATAAAGCTGGAACTGCATGGAGTGGGAGCTGGAAGCCAAGAATTTATTCCTATAGCTCTCCCTATTCATTGATTTGCTGCCTGACCTTGGAGGGCATCCATGTCATTGACTCTTGGCTTCTGCAGAGACTCTTTGCATAGGCAGGTGTCCACCAAAGTCCTTGCCAGGCACATCATAGGTATGCTGTTTACACCTCCCTGACCCAGTGGCTAAAGCAGACCTGCTGCCAAGCTGACTAAGAGGAGGAGTAGGGAGCTATGGCTGGCTTTCAGGGAGACCAGCTGTGTCCCACCTGGCAGGGGTGTGAGAGAGAAGAGGGAAGCTGCAACCTCCCACGAAAAGGAGGCAGCACTGCTGAGCATCGCCGACCTGTGCAGTCATCTGGCAAACACAGCGTGGACCTGCTGCAGCACAAACCTGTGACTCTTTGTGCTTGATGTAGTATCCCTATCAGATATTTCAAATTCTGCCAGAAAGATCTTGCAGCCTAAGTTAGAGAGGTGCACAGAAGCTTTTGCAAAATCCAGAGAATGGCATGGCTAGTAATTTTTATTTCGTATTGCTCTTGCTGGTTCATTTCCTGAACATGATGCGAGAAGTTCATCTTTAGGAAATCTGTGAGTTGGAAAGCAGCAGTGTCAGGCCTGACAGAGCACAGAGGGTAGGCTGCCTGTATAATGTAACAGGGAAGAAAGATCCTGGGACATGGAGTTGTAACTGAGTGAGCTAACTGCATCAGTTTTCTGTAGCTGGTGGAGCATAGAGACAGTACAGTGGAAGTCCAGATTGAAGATGTAGGGAAAAAAAGTGTTGTAGTGTTTAACATTTCCTTCTTAAGGAAAAGATCCATCTATAAAAGTGTTTTGGAAATATCACAAGCATTAAAAGAAAAATACCGCTATTGTCTCTCTAAATTTTGTTTGGTTTGTTGTCTCCATTGTCAGCCATCACTCATGAATTTATGTTTAAGCTGAGATTCAGTCAGCTGTTTCTCAAGGTTTTCTAACACTCTAGAGCAAAGCAAACCAGAACAGAAACTGCTACAATGGTGTTTTCTTGGGGGTCATAATGTTTTCTTCCTGAAGAAATTCCTTTGCTCTAGAAGCTAGGCATACTCTGAATGTGGGCACCTGTTGATGCATCCATATTGCATCTTCATTCGAATCAGGAGTGTCATATCAAAGAGGATGTGATAGGCTGAGTGTTAAGGTGTTTGCCTTCTGAGACAGGTGCAGAAATTACAGTAAATGTGCAGCTGGAATCAGTGAGTTTTAACATTGTTTTCAAAATTTTTCTCTAACTTAAAATTTGAGAAGACCAGAATGAAAAAAGGAGAGCAGAATAAAAGTGACAGAGGAGATGGAGTTTTGCCATTGATTTCAGTGGAATTAGGAATTTTCTCAGGAGCTGCTGAAGTAGGATGATGAAAGCCTCTTTGGAAAATCATAGATAAAAATGGTTGGGGAACTTAGAAGCTAATGTGATAATTAATTGCTTGTGGTTTGCCTCCTAAAGATGTCAAGACACAAACTGACCCAATGAAAAGGTGAACACCATCATGTTAGCCTTCAGAATACTGTTGAATTTAAACTATTTTCCCATTGGATTTAGAGAATAATTTCCTGACAAAAGCTTTTTTTTCTTATTTTTTAATTTATGCAAAAGTTTTTGCTGACATTATAACCCCCAGTTTCAAGTATAAAGGTAGTTCTTAAGCAGATTTTTACCCTTCATGAATGAGGTGATCTGTGCTTTTTCCTGGGATTTGTGTTTTTGGTTAATTCAAGTTCTTTGCAAAAGTATTTGTGCTCCAGACAGATTTTATTACAACTAATAGGAAAAAAAGATGTACTTATTTTAATGTCCCACATGGAAAAGATGCTTTAAGATCAGTGTTAGCAATGACCAATGTTATACAAGCCAATGGGATAAAAATCTTTTCAAAGTGATGTGAGCAACACATGAGTTATTCTGAATCACCATTTCTCTGTTCTTGACTCTTCTGCCAAGAGAAGTTTTTTACAGGGAGCAAATACATTTTGAGAGTAAACAACGCTTTCACTTTCTTTATTTTCTTTCTGTTTCCTTCCTGAAACTACCCACATGCTTTATATGTATGTTATTTGATTTCTTTTTGTCCAAAAATAATATTTTCTTCTGTAGTGCTCTGAAATCTGTTTTTCATATAAAGAGATTAGAAGCCCCTCCCTTCCTTATGATCTCCTGATGTGTTCCTATTGCAAATAGATTTGCTGTTATTGAGAATTTATGTTTAGGGGGTGGGTCAGAGAAACCAGGCATAAACTTGTAGGACTCAAGGTTTTAAGAGTTCTTTTTCTCTCCCCCAAGTGTTCTCTTATCCCTGTGAAAGACAAAGGGTGCATCTAAGTACCAGAATGCTTGGGGTTATTTTTACATATTGTCTGTGCTGTTCACAGCATGCTATGCCATTTTGGAGGATCTCAAGCCACTCTGACCTTATGGCCCTTCACCATGCCTTGGAACTGGAGTACTTGTAGCAGCTTAGCAGCACTTTCAAACCTCAGAGCCTCCTTCTGCCCGTGGATGAGATGCCTGTGTCTTGTGTCAGCATTGGACTAGAGAACTCTGTGATTTCAGCATGTTGACGTACAGCTGCAGTCGGGGTTAACCCTTGCCCCTTCAGTGAACAGAGGAGCAAGTCCTTTTCTTCAGAACAGCTGTTGGCTCCGGCACTGCCAGCCCAACCAAAATAAGCCATGCGAGTGTTTGAACAACTCATCTTTACCACATTTGCTACCAAAAAGAAATAGAGAAGGAAAAAATAAAATGGGAAAAAAATTTTAAAAAAAGAAGAAGAAAAGGAAATAAGAGGTTCATACCTGTGAAGAAAAGAAAAAGGACCTGCAAATGCTTTGTAGTTTTTAGCCTCTTCAATGTGACACACACAATTTCTTCAACGCAGCAAACTTGATTGCACAATGAAGACTGAGATTTTACAAAATACCAGTGGAGTAATTTTCTTATAAAGAAGGTTTACGTTTTGGTTTCTCATACCCAGGGTACTCTGTACATCTTTGCTTATTTATGAACAGACTGTATTTTGACATCATATAACTGAGGATATGTATAATAGGATTAAAGGCTATTATAAGCCTTTGCCTTATGGTACAGCAACTACTTTTGATTTTAGCACATTACAGAGTAGTTTAAAATATGTCTAATTTAAACTAATAGGTACATCACTGAGACAATCATGTACAGGAAGAATTTTTTGTGTAAATTTGTAATAATGAATGATTCTTTTACATATTGTTAAGGTAAATGCTAATGAAAGATAGTAACGCCTTGTTGGTGAAGAATGAGGCCACATGTGCACAAACTTGTGCAGTGCCTTATCAATGTGTTGGATATAAATATGTAGATAATGGATTTTTTTTTAGATAAATTTGTCAAGACCAAACGCATGGATGTCAAGTGTCAATAGGAATTGGGTTTTGTTCTCAGCTGTTTCTCTGCATTTTCTTCTCTCACCCCCTCTGATTAAGAAAAGATTGATTTTGTGTGTCCCCCCTGGTTGAAGCAAATACAGATAAAACCCAAGTGAAGAGGAGGCCTTTATTGTCTTTTTGTTTCCTCTTTTAAAGTTAACATAATAACTCTTTTTTAGAGTATTAAAAAATTAATTAGGAGCTCATTCCATAAAGTAGTAGAGAAAGAACACAAATATATTTTAAGATGTAACTTAAACTGGAACCTTGATACTGAATAGCTTTTGTCTCATCCAAAAATGAAGGAAATTATCATCACTAATATTTTTAGAAATTAGAAATGGGAATATTTTGGAAAAATTAAACAAGAATGCTCATATACATTGAAGTTTTTTAATCCTCTTCCACCAGGAGTCAGATTTTCCTAAGATATAACGTCCATTGCCGGCAATGGAAATGCTGAAATGGTTATCAACAAGGAGTTAAAATTTGCTTTTGTCTGTACTAACTTAAAGGACAAACCTAGACCATGTCTGTCTGTGACTTGTGACTTTTCTGATCTTGAAGGCTTTGAGCTACTTGGTTAAATAAACTGTTAGTCCGACTTTTTTTGGCTTGAATTGTACCAATTCCCTTGGCCCAGTTAAATATCTTATTAAAAAGAAGCCTCACCTTTGTTGGTTAATTTTCTGGGGTTTTTCTTTCATTTTTTTTTAAAAAAACCACCAGCCTCGAAACAGCTACCTGCAAGGCTACAGAGCACCAATGTAGCTACAAATCAACACCCTTCTCTATTGGAGGAGTCACATTGCTGCTAGAATAAAATATTTGTGGATTGCCTTAGTACCAACAGAGAGGTTTTTACCTTACCAAGACTTGCACGTGTGCTTTACTTTACCCAGTATGAGTTCTGCAACTCGTGCTGGACTCACGTACGTGCATAAAGCACATTGTGGATAGTTTTTAGAATTGAGACTATCATTAGCCTTTTCTTTCCTCAAGCAAAGTAGACAGTGATGGGGGGGATTGGTGTCTTTTTTTTCTTTGGCTCTTTTCAATTTTTAGTCACTCGTGGACTGAAAAAATAACAGTTTATCTGGGCCTTATTGTACAAAAAGTGTGTTGTGTCCACAATTGTGTACAGAATTTTTCTTCATTAATTTTGTTTTAAATTAATAAAATTGATTTGTGAACGTATTAAACAATTGTCTTGTATGCAAGTCTGTGATATTTCTGCCCTCTGGGTTGGGAATGAGGAGACATCTCTCATCTCTTTGCTGTCTCAAGACACAGGAGTTACTCACCTTCTGGTGCCCAGCTGAGACGTTAAGCAGGTTAAAGAATACTTGCAACTAGTTTACAGAAGGCTCAGTTAGATGAGCAGCAGTTGTTTTGTTTAGAAGCAGCAGCTAGAGATAGTCAGTGCAGAATAAGGCCTTGGTGTCCTGGAAATGTCTCTGAGTTACAGCAAATGCCTGAAATTCATGGTGCCTCTGTCATCCAAAGCAATCCATATGAATGGATGAGTCTGCCATTCAGACATCTCACTCAGGGCTAGATGTCCCATCCTCTGAGGTTAAACAGGCCTGAACATCTGGGAATTCAGGACTGGCATTTAACTTTACCAAGCACGGAGCAGGGCTGCCCTTTAAATTGAGAAGAATGCCAGTGACCACCATTTTATAGCAATTTTATAGTTTTGCTGTACACACATGGTCTGGTGAAGATCTCTCTTTGCTTCTCTGCCCATCAGTAAGAGCCTTGGCTGCCAGCAGGTTTTTCCTTACTCTCACTTGCTGGTCTAGTGAGACCTAACAAATGGAAGCAAATCCAAGGACCTGCTTCTACATACTTGGCACCACCATGGAAGTTGCATGCTCAGAGCTAAATTAAATGTTTTCAGCATAGCACCAACCATGCTAGAAATTAGTGTGATGAAGTAAGCATGTAAATGCCCCCTGAAGTCAGTGTCTTTCTTTCTGAGCAAATACTCAGAAAAAAAAAAAAAATTAAGGCGCATAATATGAAAACCCTTTTTAAATCAAAATCTTGTAAAAAAGAAAGAAGTCCTATAGAGTGAAGGAGATAATGTAGGCAACACATAAACTTGGGGTCCACTTTTTGAAGCATGTCAGTACTGCTTGAAGTTTCCATTTCTTAGATGCTCACTGATAAAAATGTTCAGCTGTAATGGTTTTTATTCTAAGAATAACACATATGTAACTTTGAGGTAGTGCCAAGAAAGTGAAATTAAAAATAGTAATTATTATTATTTATGTCTCTCATGATTGGAATGCATGCTCAGTGAGTGGTACCTTTGTCTCAAAAATGCTTGCCATGCAAGCCAATAAAATATTGTTAGAAATTCTTTTTTGCCTTTTTCTTCAGTTTTCTGCTTCTCTCAGTGTTGAATTCTGCCCTGCATAATTCGAGGATGGATATCAAGAGACACATTTCTTTGTGTCATATGCCAAGGGAGAGGCACAGGCCTGTCCCAGTCTTCCTGTCCTTTGTCAATGGCAAGGCTGCACAGCTGCCATTTTTGCCGTTCTCTGTTTAGCCAGGCACTGGCTCTACCAACACTGTCCAGCGGTCTTGTGCAGGCAGAGGGCTAGAAGAAAATGGGAAAATCCAGGGGAAGACAGGCATCTCCCAGGTTGGAAAAAAGCACAGAGAAGAGGTGTGAGGGTTACAAGGCCGCAGCTGCAAGGAGGGTCTGCAGGTAACCAGGAAGGGTCACTGAGTGGAGCACCCAGTACTCCTAGATGGGTCCCAGCAGCTGCTCAGGATTATGCTCAGGAATCTGATGGGACAAGAGACCAGTGAGAGGTCCCACAGTCTCTTGGCTACCCTATCCCACCGCCTTCATGGTGTGGATGGCAGGTTGGCCACAGCTTGGTGGACAGCAGCACATAACCCAGTATGGGCCTCAGGGCAGGGCGGTGTAAATCAAGGGGGGGCTGGCTGCCATCCCTCTTCTGGCTCCTCCTGAAACTCTTGCCCTGTCCCTATTACCTCTGCACAGCTGGCATGCACCTGCATGTGCCAGAAAGGACACAGCAAAGATGGAAAACTCTGGAGTACATGCCCTGAATTCTCTCATCAGCCTATCAACTGTGTGAACTTCTCTGCACTATATATGTGCTTATATACACACATGTACACATACATATAGATATATAGTTAGATACACAAATACACACAGACATATTTGTTGCCGAGCTTTGTTATGACATGGTGTATCATTGAACCTGTTGCCTGAGTGACTTTATGCAAATGGTTTGCAATATAAAATGCCCCTTACTCTTGTTCTCCAGCCCAGCCATGAAAGATAAATAAAGATAAATAAACATTTCACTACTCAAATCATCCGTCTTTGTAACTGTCAGCATTTCAGTCTCTGTGAGTACAAATAAACTTCCACAAGTTCTGATACACCAGAGACATTTTTTGGTTGTTTTTTATTAATATTCTATACTGCCATTTCTGGTTTTTAAGTGGTTGTTTGTTCCTGCTAATAATAATGGAATAACAGCAGAAGAAAAATAAAATATTTGGATTTATCTAGAGCTAAATACAGATATGCCAGCTCTCATGGAAGCCTCATGATGTTGCCAGGTGATGTGGAAGTCAGACCTAGGTACAAGTATGCAATCTGCCCTTCCCATCACTTCACCAGCACTGGCAGTGTCTCAGCTGGGAAGAGGTATTTGTGGCTTGGATTTTGTTTCTCACCCTCACTTAGAAATGTTTTGCATGGACTGCTCTCTGCTGCTTCCTGAAGGGCTGGCCTTTGACACTGTGCTGTTTCCATTCTTATGCACAGGTGCATTGTTTTCTAAAGTGGAAGTTGAATAATTTGCAAAGGAAGCTCCAGCCCTCTTTATTTTATTCATTGCGAAGTCATGTCAAATTTGACATGGAAGTGAAGTGAGATCTAGATATCAGATTAAGTTTAATAGGTGAGATTGCAGTGATAGATGGTATAGTGCAGAGAAGGTGAAAAGTAGTTAGAAATAAAAAGACAAAGCATAAATTGATTTGAAAAATGTAGGATAATAAATCTGGGAGAAAATAATGCAAAGCAAGGAGTGAGGAAGAATGCTGTTTTTCAGAATGGAGAAAATTATGTTTGGGAAGGCAAATTAATTTCTTGGCTCTGCCACAGAACACCCCAGGGGTTGTTAGGACTCAGGCTCAGCAAAGTTAAGTGTCACTGTGGTTGGTCACTTGCAGGACACCCAGGGCGGGTCCTGCATGCTCTCCATGAGGAGAACTGGGAGCCTCAGTGAGGAGCTGTTGAAGCCAGCTGCTGGCACCAGAACTGTGCACAAAATCCTGCCCTTACCAGGAGCTTGGGTGCCACATCTTGCCCCCAAAGTGATGTCTGGAATCCTTTCCTGTGCAGGACAGGAGGCTGCCCATGCTGAGGAGCATGGCAGGAGCTGTCCGTGTCCTGTGCAGCACCCACTGCTCACCATCCCTGCAGAAGTTTAGTGATTAGTGGCCACTTACACAGGACACAGCTGACTTTAGGCCAGGTCTGTTTTCAACCCCATCCAGAGCTATGTGGGAGCTGCATGCTGTTAATCCTCTCAGAGAGCTGGAGGAGTTCCAGGGGAGAGGAAGAAAGGAGAAGGGCAAATGTGCAGGCTCTCAGTGAAGCACATGAGGATGATGTTTGCAGAGCAAAA